CCTGAGTTCAAATTTGGTCTCAAACCAAACACTTGACATTTACTAGCTGTGTGACCCTCAGCAAGTCACTTAACCCCAACTGTCTAACAAACAAACAAACAAAAAGGATGTAAACTCCTTGAGGACAGAGAGGCTTTCATTTTTGTCTTTGTATCACTAGCACAGTTCCTTGAACACAGCTGCTACTTAATGAAATGCTCGTTGACTCATTGATAAAGGAAATGACGTTAGACATAAATTGTTATTGAAAAACTCACTGGCTCAGGGGCAGCTAGGTGGTGCAGTGGATGGAACAGTGGCCCTGGATTCAGGAGGACCTGAGTTCAAATCCGGCCTCAGACACATAACACTTACTAGCTGTGTGACCCTGGGCAAGTCACTTAACCCCATTGCCTACCAAAAAAAAAAAAGAAATAAAAACTCACTGGCTCTTGGTGTTTACTGCTTCCCTTTCTAGGTGGCACGATGAATACAGTGCTAGATCTAGGGGCAGGAAAACTTGAGTTCAAATCCAACCGCAAAACAGTGACTAGACCTGGGCAAGTCACTTAACCTGTCTTAGCCTCAGTTTCCTTGATTGTAAAATGGGATAATAATAGCATCTAACTTGTGGAATAGTTGCAAGGATGAAATATTTGCAGGCCGTTTTGCAAACCTTCCTAGCTATTGCCATGAACAGACATTGAACGAATTTACCCGCAGTTAAATATACTCCATCCTTTGCCCTTTTGAAAACCAGGACATTTGCCTGTCTCTAAACCTTTGTTATCTGCTTTAGTCTACATAGTATAGCCATCACACATTCAAACTTGGTTGGTACCTAGGAATGTAATTGGTTTGGGATTGATGGCTTAAACTCATGCAATTCAAATTTCTCTTACTATCTCTTCATTTATCTGGATTTTCAATTTCCTCTTAACTTTTTTTTTCTTCTCCATTCTTTAGTTTGAGAATCATTCTTCTTTACAGAGGGTAGTAGGTGGCATAATTGACAGAGTGCTGAGCCTGGAGTCAGGCCCATCTTTCTGAGTTTAAATCTGGCCTCAGACACTTACTAGCTGTGTGACTCTGGGCAAGTCACTTAACTCTGTTTGCCTCAGTTTCCTCATCTGTAAAATGAGCTGAAGAAGGGAATGGCAAAGCACTCCAACATCTTTGCCGAGAAAACTCCAAATGGGGTCACAAGGAGGCAGAAACAATAACAACTTTTTTACACAGAAAGAAGCAGACTTTAATTCTGGTTTTTTTTTCTTCATCTGTTTTAATCTTCCTCTTTAGCTCAGACTACTGGCCTATTTCTTTCTCATTTCTTCTTTCCCATCTCCAACTTATATGTTTTTTGAATGTCCTTTTTGTTAACCCTCAGCATTTTTTGATAGCCTTAGCTCACAAATGGGCTTTAGTTTTCTGGACACTATTCTTGCAGGCAAGCCTATGGCACTTTCATATTCATCCTTGGATATGTGCCCTCCCTTCCATCTTTTGAACATGACCCTTTAAAATCTGGCCTCAGCTGAGAGCTCCCCATACATCCCCATCAATAAGGCCGCCTCTTTTTAAAAGCATAAAGCGCTTACAAAGTACTTTACAATCATCCTGATTGCTCAGTTCCCCTCATGAAGTAGGTCACCACGGCTTGCTCAATATGAGACAGACGAGGAAAGCACTGAGGGTCACCATCCAGCAAATACATGGCTAAGGAGAAGTACAATGCTAGCTGCTTTTCCAATATTCAAGCGCTAGTAAAAGGGGGTGGGGAGAGAGAGGAAGAATAGCTAAGAGTTATTCCAATTTCCATTTTCATTGATAGAATCCTTTGAAAAAGGCTCAAGGTGAGATGCTGTGACTGCTGGGTGCAGTTAACATGGGGAGCCACAGCCACGTTGGCAGGAACTGCAGATGTAAATTAAAGGAGATACTAGACATTTACTTGATGTCACAGAGACTGCATTGGTATTTTGAAAGAGATCTGTACTGCCTCAAAATAATACTGCATATAGCGTCATCTCCTAATAGAAAACAACAATGATAAGATACAAACTAAGCTAAAGAAAAACCACATACAGCATTCACACTTGGCTAAGGCATGCATGAGAAGGTGAACCCATCTAGCAGTGATTCAGACGTGATGTGGCCTTAGCAACTGGAGCCCAATTCTGTGACCTGAGGTCTTTGAATCAATGGGTACTGTACACAGGGGTGCACATTTCAAAGGTGAGAATGGCGAGGATCATTAAAACCGCATGCAGTACTTTAGCTGCTCAGAAATCTTGAAGCCAGTTGTCTACACACTACTGAATGTTTCTAAGAAGCCCAGCTGTAGGCAAAACTGGCCTAAGGAAACATTATTAAGCACTTGGTTTCTCTGAGTTACTCCAATACCCTCATGGTCAGTAGAATCATCCTGGCCAATGGCTGGGGACCACGGTAGTACACCGAGGCAGTCATGCTATAAAATAGGTATTTTGGGCACTCTGTGGCTTCATGTTCAGTATTCAGTTCACTAAATTCCCGTCTTTTTTTTTTCTTCCTTTCACATAAACTTCTGCTTCCTAGCCATATCCCCCTCACACTGAGCTTACTCAACTGATTTCTTCAACCCTAGTACTGGACTTTATCTTTGTTCCTGTTAAATTTTACCTTATGGGTGATCTTTGGTTTACTAACTGTTCAAGCCTGTTAAGACTCTGTTAAGACTTGGTTCTGTTATTTAATGTACTAACTGTCATCTTGCAGTTGGAGGAGCATAACTTTCGTAGCAGTCCTAAATGGGACACTCAGGTGGCTACTGCTACTTTAGATCCTCCACTACCCTCTCCAAATGCTAAGCAAGATCCTAGGCTTCTCGCAAGCTGGCAGAAGGGGTTTTGAAGCTGGAAGGGACTTTAGTGAACCTCTAGTTTAACTCATTTATAGTTAATGAAACAGACTCAGAGAGGCCCAAATTAAATGACTTTTCTAAAATCTTACAGATAGTAAAAGAAACAGAGTCAAGATTTGAACTCAGGAGCTCTGACTCCATATTCTGGCCTCTTTCCATTATATAACACTGTCATCTCATTGATATACTAAGCTACAAGGGCAGGTACCATCAAGCTATAGTGATTCTTACCCAAACTTAGTCTGGTACATTAACTAAAAGGAAAAGGCTTTAGGTACCAGCATTCAAGTCTTCCAGTAGCCTGAATGGTTAATACACCTTCCCTAGACTCCCAATTCAGGCTCAGGAAAGGATTTAGACAACAGGGTGGATGAAGTCCTGTACTGATACCCAGAGATTATTAGCAACCTCAGAATAGGGCATGTTCTATTTTTTACATTGCCAATTGCCAATTGTCAATTGATGTTCTGCTAATAGGAGGAATCATGGATGCAAGTGTTTATGGACAATGGACAAATGGTTTTCTCAGGTTAAAAAAAAAGTGTGTATTTTGGGGCTTTTCATAATCATTTATGAAGCATTCCCCAAAGAGTCACACCTCATTATAGTATCAGGTATTTCTTATTTTGAGCTTATTTAAGGCAGACCTGCTTAATTTTACTTTGTAATCTCCGGGGCTGGGAGAAAAAAAAAAGAATTATTCATGAGGATTCAAATACAATAAAGGTAGTCAGCCTTAGGGCACAAATAAATTCAAACTGTAATACATGAAGACATTGTTCTGATCCCAATGGCAGGGTGTCCCTGGCTGGCTATATATACTTATTCCCATGGAGATCGTCCTGTTCAAAGGAAAGGCTTTGGAAATGTTCCTTGATGAACAGACATATATACATATAGATCATAATACACAGACACAATTCTGAGACTAATGCTATTTGTCCTCTCTTTCCTTGGCTCAGGATGTATTCTATTAACCAAATGAAGTAGAAATAGCCATAGCTTATCCTGGGTATTGTATTTATGACCAGGGTTTTGGTGGAAATGTTTATTTATAATGATGAATTAGAAGCTAACATAATTCTCTCTCTCTCTCTCTCTCTCTTCTCTCTCTCTCTCTCTCTCTCTCTCTCTCTCTCTCTCTCTCTCTCTCTCTCGTAGAAAAAGTACATCTTTTCAATATGTCAACCCAAACTGATTAGGTGATTTTCCTGATTGTCTCTGCCCTTCCCCTCCAAAAAAAGAGTATCTTGTTTGTAGATTAAATTGATCTGTACTTATAGTTATCCCAGCCACTACTGAAAACCAGAACATTTACCATTTAATAGAGGCTATGTTTTTGTTCCTTTATTAAATGGACTGCTTTTTAGTCCTGCAGTGGCTAAGGACACTGATTTCAGGTGAAAAACATCTTTAAAAATTCTTTTTGGATGTGTTTTCTGAATTGGTGATATTTTCTGGGTTGCTCTCTCTCTTCTCTCTCTCTTTTTCTTTCCCCCTCTCTCTCTTCCCTCCCCCCTTCCCTTTATTTCCATGTGGATTTATCTTTATGAAAATAAATTAGTTCACATCCTCTGCTTTTGAAAAGAACACTCTTGATTCCAAAGTCAATGTCAGTCTTGGTCATAAACATGAGTTGAGAAGATGTGACCCGTGGATCAGGGGCTATCCAAAGGCAATGGCTTGTCCTCAGATGGAAGGATACATTCATGATATTCATGAAACTATTTCTATTCCAGCCTTGCAAAGAGTCTAATTTCCTAGCCCACATTTTACTTGAGACAGGCTGCCCTCCCCTCAAGCATCAGCATCTATATTACCAAAGAAATTTAAGAAAAAAAAAATCCACATTTGTTTCTACTGGCCCATAAGAAATGGTATCTGGATGACTTCCCAGGTGTCCTATTCCAAGCATTTATCACTTCAAAGTTTTTGGTAAACTCTGGCCCAAGATTAGAGTCGTTTCATTGACCCCCCTTTCACTGCACATTTCCCCCACTCCTAACTTGATGATAAAATCACTCTCAAGTTTCACAGATCCTGTGCCATGACTAACTAGCAGTTTCATTAAGTGGGTTATTAACTTGTCAAAGCAGTGATTTTTAAAAAAAAAATCAGCTATGAATCACCCTATTTTATAATCTGGGGCATGTCACTCCAGGCTTGAGACTTCTTTTTGGCAAGTTCCATCCAGGATGGCTGATCTGCGCTGGAATAACTGGCCCTCTTTAGCTGGTTCAGTTCTTTCTCAGTCATCACCTGAGATTGAGCTGCTGGAAAAGAAAAAAAATACTTGAATGGGGAGCTTTCCAAACCATTGCAAACCACTTCTTTTGCTTTGACAATGTCCAAGGAGGTCCTTGCAGGGACACGAATTCCTTCAGATAAATTTTATTTGTATCGAGCAATACTTGTGAAGAGCATCAGACAGATCACATAAACTATTTTGTTTGGGGGCAGGGGGGAAGCATGTGTGAATGCCTGAATGCACATCAGTGTGCTTAGATGACAGAAGTGCTTGAAATAAAATTGCAAGAATAGCCCCCACATCCTTTCTCATAATATTAGGGAAATTTTTCATACCCAGGTTCTGATGAGAAAGTGAAATGCCTCGATGAAGTCCTTCTTTGAGGTGCAGCTTTGCTCTTGGCTTCTGTTCTTCAGCAGTTTTAGCTGGCTGCACCAGAAAAGATTTGCTACGGACAAAGTCGGCTTGTTGCTTAATTCGCTCCTGTGGAGAGATTACAAAAGGGACAAATACTAATAATGTCACTTGTGATCCAGAGATGGGGCAACTCAACATATATGCATATATGGACCCATATACAAGGACCCTATGATTTCCTCTTCATGGAGGACTCCTATTTGCCAGAACCCTTTCTACCTTACATGAATGGCAACCCATCTATTTCTTCAGAGATAAATTTCAGGGCTCTGCCTCAGGCATAGAGAGGTTAAATAATTTTCCTGTCTGTCTCTTTTTCTCTTTTCCACTCTTCCCCCTGCCCCGCATCCAAGCAAATCTGACAGGATCATTGTAGAAAACATGCTGTTCCCCTCCTCAGGATAAAATAAGCCTTCTATAGCTTTCCCTGGATAGCTGGTACTTAAAAGTCAGCTCTTCAGACCGTAGAGATCACTTATCTAATCCAATCCCCTTCATTTTAGAGGGGAAAGTGACTTTCCCAAGGTCACACAGCCAGTAAGGGGTGACAAAGTCTTGTTGTTCTGACTGTTCTTCCACTCCACTGACCTTCAGAACTTAATGCTTAGGTTAATGACTTACACCTTTTTCGTGACATTCTATCATTATTCATTAACTTTTTTGCCACATCATGCTCACTCCAGTGGCAAATACTTCATTTTAAAATTAGAATTTTTAGAAGAAATACATGATAACTTAGTATCACAGATTTATAGCAGGAAAAGATTTTAGAGGTCATGTAATCCATCTCCCTCATTTTAAAGATGGGAAACTGAAGCCCCAAGAAGGTAAGTGACAGGTAACACAGGTGATAAGGACAGAATACAGGAGATTCTGATCTCAAATCCTGTATGTTTTTCTACCACACTCTACTGAATGGACAACTAGCTACAATCTCAGCTATTGCAAAAGTAGGCTAAGAAATCACAGATATGTTACCCTTAACCTAGCCTAGCCCTCCATTGTCTTACCTCCCTATGGCCTCAGGCCACTTCCCACCCTTAATCCTAGACTCCGTTCTCCTTAGGCCTTGTGGTCAGGTCCCTGGCGTTCTGTTCACTCCAAACTACTTGGCCACTCCTTGATCCCTCCCACAGTCTTTCTGTATTTAAGGTCCATCTTGTCTCCATTAAGGTGCTCAGATTCTTTAAGAATCTAGCAAACAGCTCACATATGTTCAGATTCCTTAAGAGTCTGGCCAATATGGCAGATCTTTAATAAATCTTTGTCTTTGGCTGAAAAAAAATCACAGATGTTTGTCTATATAATCTACACGTTTATTTTTGAAACACCCTCATAATTGTGCCCCTGGGTTGCAGGCAACTTCTCAATCTGAGATTTTAAGTGGAAATATAGAACCAGGTCCTGCTGAATCTGTCAACCTTATCATTAACACACAATTTCAAATGCTTCTTATCTCAATGTGTCAGCCCAGAAACGAATTTGAGACTATTAGGGGAAAATCAGCCCTAACCAACCCAGCTGCTTGGGTTGGAAAGAACAGCTTCCATTCCGGAATGCAAAAATGAACCTCTAATTCCTAACCCAGGAGCCACGTGTAAGGAATAATCAGCAGCCAATCAGAAGCTCTTCTCAGCGGAGGCCCCAGCATGAAGCCTGTGCCTCCAGGAGCATTCAGGTCTCATTTATCACAGTGCAAGAAGCCAGAATGGAGCTGTTGACATTGTCACCAGGCGTCAAACTGAGAAGTTATTTTTAACCTTGTTTCATTTCTCCAGATGCCAAGCGTCGTTGCCTAGGCAACAGGGAGACAGTGAGAGATTTGACTCCTTTTTGCCTAAGTGAATCACTCTCAGATCTCTGACTCATTGAGAGAAAGGGGGCGGGTTTGTGGGTTTCCCCCCAAATATAACATAGTTACAAATCATGCATCAGCACATAACTTTCCCACAGAGCTCTGGGTTTTTTTTTTTAAATCAAAATGGCTACTATAATTTAGTAACTTGGTTGCCACATTGTGATTTCGGAGCCCATCTCCCACAGTCAGTGGGTTGTTTTGTTTTGTTTTGTTTTTTAATCAAAATGGGTGCTATAATTTGGTAACTCAGTTACCATACTATGCTTTCAATGCCTGCAGAATCACTGAGCACCCGTCACTTCAGGCATCAAAAGTGACCAAACCTACATGCTTTTACTGTGGTAAAATACCTCTGGTATACACATTGTTTTTCTACAGTAACAAAAAGAAAAGGATAAAAGTTCTTTTTCTAAGTACCTCTTTTCTATCCAGGTCTCCACTCGGCTTTTCTGTGTCCGACTTTGTGGCTGGTGTTTCAGGCTTTTCCTCCTTGCGCAGCTGCTGTTCTCGTGAGCCCCTACGCTTCTGCCTGGCTAGAGTAATCCAGGGTGGCAGTGAGTGGCCCTCTGAGGCTCCAGTGGTTGATGCTGGGGATGGCATGTTTTTCTCTGTGGGTGGATTCATAAGGTTATTTGATAGAAGTCCTCTACCCTTTTTGATTTGACCTTTTGTCGTGAGCTGCATTGCTCTATAAACACCCTCTCTATCATTATTGCTTTGGGAAGATTTGAGAGACTTTGGGGTGAGACCCATGTGAATTTATTTTAGGTAGCTTTTTGTTTTATTCTAAGATGCAAAGATATCAAAGACATCAAATTCAATGAAGATATCAAGTTAGTCTATTTGGAATGGAAAGAGAGAGAGAGAGAGATGTGACTACCTCTAGGATCAGCACAAAATTTTAAATATACTGTCTGGCTTTTTTGGGGTTTGTTTTTTTTTTTGGCTTAGATCTGTAATTTTGTCAGGAAGGAAGGACAGGAGGGATAGAGGAAGGAAAAAAGAAAGGAAGAAAAAGGCAGAAGGGAGGGAAAGAGGAAACAAGCATTCCCTTTACAAATAGTATGTCATCTGAGCCTCACAACAACCCTGGGAAGTAAGTACTATTATTATCCTCATTTTATAGTTGAGGAAACACAATGGTTACGTGACTTTCTCAGGGTCACATGGTTAGTAAATTCCTGGGACTGGGTTTGAACTTAGGTCCCCTGACTCTGGCTCAGAATTCTATCCACAAAAACTCCCTTTATTGACACAGACTGGCAACTTCTCAGTAACTTACAGTCTTAGAAGATTGTTTAGGGTTAATGAGAGTTTGAGTGACTTGTCCATGATCACACAGTAAATCTCAGAGGCAGGTTTTGAACCCAGGTCTTCTTGACTTCAAAGTGTCTTTTGATCCACTGCATCAGGGGTGGGGAACCTGTGGCCTCAAGGCCACATGTGGCCCTCTAGGTCCTCAAGTGTGCCCCTTTGACAGAATCCAAACTTCACAGAACAAATCCCCTTAATAAAAGAATTTGTTCTGTAAAACTTGGACTCAGTCAAAAGGCTACACCCAAGGACCTAGAAGGCCACATGTGGCCTCAAGGCTGCAGGTTCCCCACCCCCGCTGATTACACCATGCTGTTTTTCCCAAGATAGTAAATCTTTACCAAGCACTTGACATTTTTTGCTCACAGTTGCTTTTTAACATTTAACAGACCATTTATTAAACAAGTATTTTAAGAACCTACTACATCTAAGGTACACACTAAGTTCCTTTTGCTTTTAAAATTAATAAGCATAGTATATCTTTTTTAAAAAAGTGTTTCTTAATGACAACGTTGACATATTTAGTTTCCTAACCAAGCAGCAAGGAAATAATAGCTTGAAAAAATAGCCTGTGATTTGAAACCAGGGCTTTGTGGACCATATATCTGCTTTAACATGTTGTTCAGTCATTTTTTAGTTGCGTCTGACTCTTCATGATCCCATTTGACCTTTCCTTGGAAGAGATAGTGGAGTGGTTTGCCAGTTCCTTCTCCAGCTCATCTCACAGATGAGGAAACTGAGGCGAACAGGGTTAAATGACCTGCCCAGGGTCACACAGTTAGTAAGTGTCTGAGGCCAGATTTGAACTCAATCTTCCTGATTCCAGGCCCAGTGTTCTACCTACTATTCACCTACCCTGTCAAAATCAGGACTTAAGAAAAATTATTTCAGTATGAACCAGAGTGGGGAGAGATTTGAGGCAGGGAGACCAAGTAAACCTTCTCAATAATCTAGGAGAGAGGTGATGAAGGCCAGGATGAGGTAGTCCTTGGTAGCTTGTATTGTTCCTTCTTTATAACATCCATATTTTGATTATTCCTCTGAAGGCAATACAGAAACTAAAGGAGAAGAGGCATTGGTCTTAGGAAGGAAGAAAACAAGAAAACCATGCCATTATCTTTGCCAAAATGGGGTCACAAAGAGTTGAACACAACTGAAAAAATGAGTCATCAACAACAACAACAACAACATATAGAGATACTAGGTGCCCTAGTGAAAGAAGATCTCGGGATAGATTTTTTTTTACCTAATATATGTACTAGCATAGCTCCTGACACATACTTGTTCAGTTGTTTCAGTCATGTCTGACTCTTCATGACCCCATTTAGGGTTTTCTTGGCAGAGAGACTGGAGAGGTTTGCCATTTCCTTCTCCAGCTCATTTTACAGATGAGGAAACTGAGGTAAACAAGATTAAGGGATTTGCCGAGGGTCACATAGCTGGTAAGTTTCTGAGGCCAGATTTAAACTCAAGGAAAATGAGTCTTCTTGATTTCAGGCTTAGCACTCTATATACACTGCCAAAACAGATTCATGGACCCTAGGTTAAGAACTCCTGTTATGATTGTTCAGTTGTTTCAATCATGTCCAACTCTTCATGACCCCATCTGGGGTTTTCTTGGCAAAGACACTGCAGTGGTTTGTCATTTCCTTCTCCAGTTGATTTTACAGATAATGAACAAGGTTCAAATCCTATTTGTGACACTTACTACCTATGAGACCTTAGGCAAGAAATTTAATCTCTTTGGGCCTTGGTTTGGGCCTCATTTGTAAAATTAAGGGATTGGACTATATGACCTTTGAGGGACTTTCCAGTTCCAGATCTATAATCCTGTCATTCACTTAAGCTTTTTGGACCTCAGTTTCCTCATCTGTAAAACAAAGGGGTTATGGTAAATTATCTTTAAGGTTTCTTCCATCTGTGGCATCTTTAGGACAGGGAACTAATGATGAGGGAAAGATGTAAATTGGTAGCTGCCCTCCAATTTGGGGTGTCTAGGAGTTCAACACCTAAGGCATGAAAAATTTCAGTGACTTACTTGTGCAGGTGGCATAGTATTTATCAGAAATGAGATTTGAACTCAGATCTTCTTGACATGAAGGCAACACTGCCTCTCATCAGCATGAATAAGTTTATAAGAAACTCTCCTGAGAGCAGGGGAAAGGAGAGAAAAGCATTAGGAGTGTGGTGGGTTACAGAGAGGAAAAGGGAGCAGAAACAGGAGTCTGAGAGTACCAGGAATCGACCATTCATGTTGCAATTTTTTCTAGGTTTAGCTCAGGTAGTTTTTCCTTGGACCATGTCCTCCTCTAGGGACATTAAAGTAGAACAGGAAAAGTACTGGATTCGGGAGTTATAAGACCCAGGTTTCCTACTCAGCTGTGGGATTTGTACAAAGAAGTTGGTGCAGGGTGGGATATGCTCTAGAAACCTAAAAACATGAAGGAGTCTTCTGAAGGAAACAAGGGGACCGGTCTAAAGAAATCAGAACAGATACAGGGAATTTGTTCAATTCTACCAGAGGTAGCTTTGTTTGTCTTTTGTTTTCAAAGAGTTCTAAGGACATTACAGATGATGTCTTGATTTGCCTGTGAATTGGATTTAAGTGAGGCAGAACTATACAAAGTTGTCCACCTCATTCTCTCTTCCAGAGCCATCAAAGTCCAATCGCAGGACAAAATTGAGATAGGGCCTATTGAATAGAGTACCAGGCCTAGAATAAAGAAGATCTGAGTACAAATTCAGCCTCAGACATCTGCCATCTGTGTGTGGCCCTGGGCAAATCACATAACCACAGCCTGCCTCAGTTTCCTCATCTATAAGATGGGGATAATAATAATAGTATCTACTTCCCTGGGTTATGGTACAGATCAAATGAGATTATATTTGCATAATGCTTAGCACATAGTAGGCATGTAATAAATGCTTGTTCCTTCCCCTCAGATTAAGGAAAGAAATATATAGAAGATGGAAGCAAGAGCAGATTACTGAAGACAGATAAAAAAAAAACTTGGCATGGTTCTATGAGAATGTCAAGAACTCCATAGCCCAGAATAAGCTAGGCAAAATGAGCTGAGGCTTGCAATCAGTGATAAGCAGAACAAGAAGGGCTAGTCTTAGCTATATTGGACTAAGAAAGATAATAGAAAGGATAAGATCAATGCTGGGGGAAAAGGCAAACTTTACCCTGATAAAGGGGAGAGAAGGTGAATTCTACCAACCATGGGAAGGTAAGCTTGATCTTAATTCTTAGCAAAATTTTAAAAGGCATTATTATAGGGGATGATTTTTAAGTCCTTTTTAAAATAAAGGAAGTACTAATCACTAGGAACTAGCATGGGCTCATCAAGGACAAATTATAATAGTGGCAAACTAATTTTTTTTTGTATGTCTGTTAGACTGGTAGATCAGGGGAATTTCAAAGACAAAGTATATCTGAATTTCAGCAAGGAATTTGAGAAAATCCTCTATGATAGTCTTTTAGAGAGAACTGTTCGTTGCATGTACAATTAAGTGGATTCTGAACTGATTGACCAACCAGACCCAAAGAGTATCAATTAATGGCTCAGGGTCAATCAAGGGGAAGTTGCTGGCAGAATATGATGTCTGCTCTCTCCTTGGCCTTGTTATGTTTAACATTTTTATTGACGACTGGATGAAGGATTAGATAGCCTGCTTACTGCATTTGCAGATGACGTGAAGCTGGGACAGACAGGCAGTTAATATATGAGATGGAAGAACTGGCATCTGAAAAGATCAGTAAGCCAGAACAATAGAGCAAATCTAATATAATTAAGTAGAAATAAACTGAAAGTCCTGTTTGTTGTTATTCAGTCATCTCTGCCTCTTTGTGACCCCATGGGCCATAGTGTCCATGGAATTTTCTTGGCAAAGATACTGGAGTGATTTACCATTTCCTTCTCCAGCTCATTTTACAGATGAGGAAACTGAGGTTAAGTGACTTGCCCAGAGTCACACAGCTACTTAAGTGTCTGAGGCTAGTTTTGAACTCAGGTCTTCCTGACTCCAAGCCTAGCAGTCTAACCACTGAGCTACTTAGCTGCCTCCTTGAAAATCCGATATTTAGGGGCAGCTAGGTGGCACAGCGGATAGAGTGCTGGCCTTGGAGTCAGGAGGACCTGAATTCGAATCCGGCCTCAGACCAAACACTTGACACTTACTAGCTACATGACCCTGGGCATGTCACTTAACCCCAACTGCCTTAAAAAAAAAAAGAAAATCCTATATTTGGGTTAAAAATAATCAGCTGTAGAAGTACAGGATAAGGAAGATACACCAAATGAAGTGAAGAAAATCTGGGGATTTTAATTACATTGTTATCTTAATATACGTCAACAAGTGTGATACAGCAGACAACAGACACAATCCAATGTTTGGTTCCATGAGTGGAGGCATAGTATATAAAAGGGGAAAAGTGATACTGTCCTGCTATCATCTGTCCTAGGTGGGTCACATCTGGGATATTTCCTGTAGTTCTCAGTGCCACATTTTTGGGACAACATTGATGAACTTGTCTAGAAAAGGGTCTTTAGAAGAGTCAGAGGCCTTGAAACACATAAAGATTAATTGAAGAAAGTGGCAATTTTAAGCTTAAAGAACAGGTTTCAGGGGAACATAACTGTTTTCAAGTATCTGAAAAGCTTTCATGTGATCCATTATGCTTACGTTAATTCATACAACACCATTTTTTTTTACAGGTGGAAAATATTTTATTCTTTACCTATTGTTGCCTAGATACTGTCCCTAAAACTACCTTCAGTTTCCTGTGGATATATCTGATGATGTATTTCTCAAAAATAATTTTTAAACAGATTTTTAAACAGATTTTAAACAAGATGTCAGATGTAGCTGTACAAGGCAAGACAGTTTATTCCTGAACAGGAGACCGACCCTGTATTTGCTACATTTGAACAAATGCCTTCACTGGAAGGACAAAGTGAAGATCCAGATAGCCAAAATAGTCTTGCTGAAATGAAAAGAAGTATCTGGATATGTGTATGTGTGTTACTTTCTCTCGTTCTCTGTGTGTGTGTGTGTGTGTGTGTGTGTGTGTGTCTGTGTCAAATGAAGATACACATACACATATATATGTATTAACATCTATCTCAGAGGGTTGTCAGGAGCCAATGAGAAGACCTATGTGCAATGATTTGCAGTCTTAAAGATCTAATTGTGGGCATGTACTCTTTCAGTCCATATAGATATATGTACGTATGTGTATATGCACATATGTATATGTGTGTATATAGAAATATATAGATAGAAATGTCCATATATGCATATATTTCACTCTCCAAATGTAATATATAACATTCTATAATACACATATAATATAGACTTCTTTCTCCATATATATGTTTACATACGGAGAGAGAAAGCAAGCATACTTATAATGTTTTTAAAGTTGCACCTGTGATATAGGTGCTATCATTATCCCAGTTTTATAGATGAGGAAACTGAGGCAGAAAGAGGTTAAGTGACTTGCCCAGGATCTATAGCTAGCAAAGTCTCTCTGGTAGTACTTGAAATCAGGTCTTTCTGACTCCAAGTCCAGTGCTTTCCACCATACCACCTTGCTGGTATGTACACACACACACATACACAGAAATATACTTACATATGTGTATATACATATACATATATTCATATGTATACATGTATAAGTATATTGCAACAGTGTTGTCAAACTCGAATAGAAATGGATCCCTGCAGCCATAGCTGACTTAGAAAACCATAAATTAACATGATCTATATTTTATTATACTTTTATTTATTTTGTTAAACATTTCCTAATTACACTTTAATTTGGTTTGTGCTACACTAGCCTTCAGACTGTAAGTTTGTCACCTCTATTGTACAAGATGCATTCTGTATAGATATGCTACATATCCTTATGTGTTGTGACTTCATTAATATGAGGATGATTTTATATATACTGGTGGTACAGTGGTGCCAAGCCTGGAATGAGGAAAACTTCTGGAGTTCAAATCTTGCCTCAGACATTTCCTAGCTGTGTGACCCTGGGCAAGTCACTTAACCCTGTTTCCTCAGTTTCCTCATCTGGAAAATGAGCTGGAAAAGGAAATGGCAAACCACTCCTGTATCTTTGCCAAGAAAACCCCAAATGGGGTCACAAAGAATCAGACCCGACTGAAACCAGTAGCAATCAGCAAGTGTTCCACTACAACTCTATTTACAGTGCCCCAGGATGAAATGTATATTTTGGGTTAGATGAAGCTCCCTTCTATATGCTGCCTCACAGATCCATGGAACTAGGTACAAGGCAGGTCAAAATCTCATCTCTCCTCAATACATTTATAAAAAGTCTTTTCCTTTTTCTGCCTGTCCAAACTGATGGCTATCTTGGAAGATATGCCAAAACTGCTAACAAGCACCAATATTTTGTACCACACAAGTATATAAAAACTGGAGAGCTTCAGCTACACATTTTTTTTCAAGAAGCAGCTTCCAACTATCTGTTGTGACTAATCCATTTTGCATATAATTAAAAAAAATAAACACAAGTAAAATTTTGACTGCAGTACACAAAATCCAACATCAAGGCCTATACACTCAGATTTTCTTTTTTTCTTTTGGCTAGGCAATGGGGTTAAGTAACTTGCCCAGGGTCACACAGCTAGTAACTGTTACGTGTCTGAGGTAGAATTTGAACTCAGGTCCTCCTGAATCCAGGGTTGGAGCTCTATCCACTGCCACCTAGCTACCCCCATACACTCAGATTTTCAATGGCACCATTTCCATTCGGACCAAGCTAGTATCTCACAAGAACTGAAAAAATCAGTGTGGCCAGTCCTCAGAGTGAAATATTTTTAAAGACATTCAGTTGTCTTCCTGAGGTCTGAACCAGCTAACTTTGCAGTTTGGCCCTCTTGGTTGATGACAGTTATTTCAGATTTCAATCTTCTTTTCACCCCTTAGAATTCATTCTCAAGCTGTGGCTTCCTCTTTCACAATGAATAACTTGAGAAAACTAGGCTTCATTACTTTTCAAGACAAAGATCTTTCAGTGGAAAACAACCAATACTTGGAAAGCAAGACAGTGCTATGATTCTGATTGAATAGTAATCTACTTTCCCCTGTAAACCACTATCATTTCCTTTGCCCTACCTAAGAAAATAGGACTTTTAAGAAGACCTCTTTTCTATAAGTTGGCACAGAAGAGAGAGAGAAACCTGTTGATAATGTGATGACTATTGCCACGGTCACCAATTCAGAGCACATTCTTAGTGTTTCAACATTTTTGGGGAAAGATAACTTTTTATCTAACTTCAATGAATAGTATCTCAAAATTCATTTTTCAGAGTACTTCCATTGGTAGAGGGAGTTTTCTCATCCAGAAGTTAACGATATCAATGAAAACATAGACCCTTATTCCTTGTAGAGTAAACTTGGTCACATGACAAGTTGATGGTTAAAAATGGATAAATGATAGGCTTTTTTTGTTTCAGTTTTTATAAATGGAATTACATAAAACATAGTTGGCAAAGTTATTACAGACTGCAGTATAATAAAAAAATCTAGGCTCTATTTAGGAAAATATCTTTAAATTTCTTGCATAAGTTTTTTTTTAACCATCTTTGGATTAATTCAAGGACTGTTCTCTTAATGCTGTAAATTGCTATAAAAAAAAGTACTTGTGATTTCTCTTTTGTGATGCATCTCTTAAAAGGATGAAAAAGCGATGTCCCAGGTCTTTGGGCCCTTCAGTTCCTAAGTTGTTATTTAGTCATTTTCAGTCATGGCTGACTCTTTGTGACCCCATTTGGGTGTTCCTGGAAAAGATACTGGAGCGGCTTGCCATTTCCTTCTCCAGCTCATTTTACAGATGAGGAAACTGAGGCAAACTGGGTGAAAGGACTTGCCCAGGGTTACACAGATAGTAAGTTTCTGAGGCCAGATCTGAACTCAGGAAATCTCCCTGTTTTGAGACCCAGCACTCTAACCACTGTGCCACCTAACTGCCTCTTTATTAGGAATACTTGGGTAGCAGTAAAGCCAGAGTGGTTTGGTGCTGTATTTTGCCAGTGGAAAATTCAGTCTATCACAAAAGTCCACTATGCTAACATTATATTAGTATACCATACCTAAGCCACACAGGTTTTAAAATATTGCTGAAGACCCAGACACTTGGATTTGCCTTTTTATTTTTTAAGTCCTACTAATATTCTTTTGAAATTCAGGCCTAATTTAGTGTTCTTCCCCCTAATAAGTCCTAGGCTGATGTCTCATTGTGGAATTCAGTTGATTTTAAGCTCTTGAAGGCTACACTAAAAGAATATGAATTTTGCTCTGTCCTACTACGTTGGAAAGGCTTTCAGAATAGACCTGATGGCAGTCTCTGTGTGTGTCTGTCATCCTAAGACCAGGCAGCAAAGCACAGAAATGATTTTAGGCCATTATTTATTTCAGGTAGGTGGCACAGTGGATAGACTGCCAGGCCTAGAGTCAGGAAAACTCATCTTTCTGAGTTCAAATCCAGCCTCAGACACTTGTTAGCTGTGTGACCGTGGACAAGTCATCTAATCCTGTTTGACTTAGTTTCCTCCTCTGTAAAATGAGTTAGAGAAGTAAATGGTAAACCACTCCAATATCTTTGCCAAGAAAACCCCAAATAAAGTCATGAAGAGTAATACACAACTGAAAACAACTGAACAATTTATTTCAAAAGAAATAAAAAGGGTTTGAGGTGTGGACCCATGAAAAGTATCCACAAAGATGAAATCATGGATCATTCAGAGTATCAAGTTAGAACTTTGACGCCAAGAAGATCCTTTCTGTTCCATTTAGAAACGACAGGTTATATTTTCCACATTATATTTTTGAATAAGGTTGTTGTCAGTCGGGGAATGAAAACCAACTGAAGGGAGTCCATTTCTTTCATTATCAACCTGCCTTTCTCATCCATTTCACTTCCCCCTCAGCAATGGAATAATCTCTAGTATCCCTTGACCTACTTGCCTTTTCTAATTACTGTTCTCCCTCCCATGTCTCAATCCAATTTATCTTCTCACTCATACCTCTGAAGCTCTATAACTTTCTGTTTCCCCTGCTGTTTCTATTTCCCATCCTAAAGAGTTCCTCAAGCCAGTATGGACAGTGATTTTAATAAGTTCTGTTACCAAGCTGTGCTGTAGGCCATAATTAATCTTTCTTTCTTTTTTTAATAAGGGATACACATAAGATGATTTCCTTTTCTAATCATAAACCAGAAATAATTTATGCCTGTTTTCCTCATACTTCTTTTTTTATCCCAACTCGGAATCCTAAGATCACAGATTATAATATTGGAAGGGACCTAAGAGGCCATCTAATGCCTTCCTTTGTTTTCTAGATGGGGACACTGAGGAGATTAGGTGATACGTCCAAGGTCCCACAAGTGGTGGAGGTAGGATTGATTCCTCGCTTGTAGGATAGTTTGAGATTTAATACTTCTAGATTCCCTTCTTTCTCACTCTTTTATTATTTCCCTTGAAATTCTTAACTGTTAGTTTCTCCAGGTAAATTTTAATAATTTTTGCCTGCTCTATAATGTTTTGGTAGTTTGGTATCTCATTAAATAAGTAAGTTAATTTAGCACTATTATAATTAGCATTATATTTTCTTTTATTACACATGAGCAATTAACATTTTTCTAATTTATGTCTATTTCTTTAAAGAATGTTTGTAATTATACTTATTTAAATCCCATGTGGAGCGGCTGGGTGGAGCAGCAGCAAATAGAGCACCAGGCCTGGAGGCATGAAGACTAGTTTTCTTGAGTTCAAATCTGATCTCAGAAACTTACTACTGTGTGACCCTAGGCAAGTGACTTCACACACTTCACAGGAAAAAATGCTTTGTGGTCAAACCAAATAAAAAGCCATCCGCACAAACAGGTGGGTTACACTCAGAAACTGAAGGGCAGTTGGTGATATAGTGAATAGAATGTCGGGCCTGGAGTCAGGAAGACCTAAGTTCAAATCCAGCCTCAGATACTTACTAGCTGTGTGACCCTGGGAAAGTTACTTCATCCCGTTTGCTTCAGCTTCCTTATTTGTAAAATATTCTGGAGAAAGAATGGCAAATCACTCCAGTATCTTTGCCCAGAAAATGCCAAATGGGGTCAGGAGGAGTCAGAAAAGACTGAACTTCCACGTGTATCTTGGTAGATTAAATTCCTTCAGATTTTGTTATCATGTGTTTGTGTGTATATTTATCTGGTGCTTTTCTTATTCAATAGAAGACTTAAAATGAACCAGAAGAAAAAGATATTTTAATCAGTTTTCCATTTAGAAAAATCATTACAAAATATGACTCATTATGGCATAATTTATGAAAAGCCAAAGTTGGTTTTTTTTAATTTTTAGAGGAGAAGAAATGAAATTAATTTTTGTTGTTGTTGTTGTTGATTAAAGCCTAAAAATGTATGGTTTATTTTGGTGAATATCTAAAGTAAAGGAGAATGCTTTAAGTTTATCAAAGCTGGTCAGCTCAACCTCTCCCAGTAATAGTTTCCACCAGTGAAAGTAATTTAATGTAGAAATGTTAAGAAAATGCTGTGAGAAAGGTTGATATAATATGTATGTGCATGCATATATACATACACATATAAATGCATATATATATATATATATAGTATGTATATATCATATAATATTTTACATATATTGAAAAATGTGTGTGTGTGCTCATGTGAAGCTAGGTGGCACAGTAGATAGCATGCTGGGCCTGGAGTCAGGAAGACTCCTCTTCCTGAGTTCAAATCCAATCTTAGACACTGACTAGCTGTGTGACCCTGGGCAAGTCCCTTCACCCTGTTTGCCTCAGTTTCCTCATCTGTAAAATGAGCTGGAGAAGGACATGGCAAACTGCTCTAGTATCTTTGCCAAGAACCCATGCCAAATGAGGTCATGCAGAGCCAGACATGGCTGAAACAACATAAGGACACCAAGAACAACCATTACAGTCATCAAGTATTGTCTGGGCTTCAGGCTAGACTCCCCTAGACCTATGAAAAAGAATTAGTCCAGGTGTTTTAAAGACCTAATCTTGGTTCTGCTGCTTAATAATGAGCCCAGGGACCTTGGGCAAGTCCTATGGAAGAAAGAAGAAACAGTGGAATATTTTCAAATGGGAGGATTTAGCGGTGTGATTCTGGGCAAGCGCACATCTGTCAAATGAAGTTAACAATACCTCCTATTGTTGTTGTGAGGATCAAGTGAGATAATATTTGTAAAATACTCAGCACAGTGTGGGGCACATTCCTTCCTGTTTTGCTCTTTCCCTACCACGTCTCTACTATTCCGGTTGTTCCACTTCCTCCAGTTCCTCTTGGCAATTTAATCCATTTTCAGAATCAGAGGTCATGGGACCATGTATCTAGGACTCAGAGGTACCTCAAAGACCATTCTGTTCAATCTCTTTATTTTATATATCACTATACTTAGACCCCTGAAAGTTAAGTGAGTTGCCCAAGCTCACATGGGTAGTGTCAGAGGTGGGAGCCAATGCTTTTCCCACAGTACCATGTTACCCTGTTGCCATCTGGATTTTGTCATGCCTACCACTGAAATCTTTAAAAAAAAATTCCTAGCATTTTTCCTTCTTTTCCCTTTTTATCCCTACTTTCCCCTTTTCTTGCTCCTTTATCCTTCTTGAAGGGAGGAGGTTGAGAGAGTGAAGGGTGCTATTTGGTGTAGACTATGGGACTACTAGTTAACAATCCTCAAGCAAATCAGCTTGGGAAGGTATTTCCTGTTGAAGGCTCTCCCAGAACATGAAATTTCAAGAGATAGCCACTGTCTTCAAATCTAGACAACTGAACTGGTCACCCTGGTCTTTAAATCAGCACTGACACCTTGACCTTTTTGTTAGCCAGCTCTGCCCTCTGTTTCCCATTAATTTCCCCCAGACTCCCATCTGGCCAGACTTTCCCAGTCCTGACTGCTGCCTACCCTATTCCTGACTACCTATTCCCTGAAAAAATCTCCAGCTTGTTGCCAGTTCTAGAATTAGAATTAGGCAAGTGGGGTCTTGTCCCAATTACTGGAATTTATAGGAGCCAGTTATACTATTACTAGCTAGCTGGTAATCAGAGATAATTTAGTTACTGGCATCAAATGCAAAAAACCAGCCAGACCTCAAAGGGCATAGTCGTTTTGTTTCCCAAACACTACCCCTGCTAGGCCCTAGGGTCTATTCTTAAATACTTTAAAAGTTACTTTTCTCTATTTCTCTTCGAGCTGCATAATTCGAAGAATACTTCCTTTTTACACACATATCTCACCAGGTACAGTTTTTTTGGAGCCAAAATCTCAGTAAACTGATGTTTATTTTCTGGACAGTAATTTACAATGGTAATTCACTTTTATATTGCAGGTAATTAACTTCCTTAAAGTTTATAGTCTGTTAAACCTTATCAGCTAGGCTTCTGCAAGTGAACCGTACAGTTGAGGGCACCAGACTACGGTGGGAGAACCATTATCATCATAAAGCACTCTCTGCTTTAGCTCTCAGCATGCCTTAGGCAAAGGCACTGGCTTCTGCAGCTAAATCCATTTCTTCAAGTTACCCACCTTCCAGCGCTCAAGGCAAGTGGAAGAGATGTGTAGAATTGCTTTAAAAGCTTCAGTAACATCTATCTGCCTAAGAATACCTATCTGCCAAGCTACCTCGGCAAGAGAGGGGTTGCCATAGCAACCAGAGAGAGGTCAGAAGAGTCTGAAAAAAGGAAAAGGGGGGTGATGGTGGTCAGGATTTACAGAACAGACAGTTCCCAGCTACCAGAATGACACATTCATTCTTGGCAACTACCCCAGTCACTCCAGTCTCTTCTTCAGGCTTGGCCTCCATCCCTAAAGGCTGGACCCCTCCTGGTCCTCAAGCCAGTGGCTTGCAGGCCTACATGTCCACTCACCATGTCTGTCACCTGGGACCCCTAATGTTGCATACAGAACAACGGGTGGGAGTGGGGACACAGGCCAAAATTCCTGAGGGGACAAGCTATCTCCTTTCCCAGGAAAGCCAACTACAAATAAGAGCTCACAGAAAAGCCCCATAGGGTGAAATGAACTTGAAGGCTGGTGTGCCCCAGAAAAGAAGGTCCTGAGGCCTTACAGCACCCCCAAATGAATCCTTCTCTGGCCTCATGGTCTTATCTCAGGCTTCCTCTCTCTTTGTTCTAAGTGGTAGAATTCCTAGTTAAGGCTCTGATTAGATCCCTTAAATTTCTTCTGCCACCGTCCAATTTCCCTCTAGTCTTCCCAGAACACTAGACCAAATTCTGTATGCTAACACTCTCTTATATTAAAATTTTCTCCTAGAAATTCTTCTAGCATAGTCTTTATCATAAGCATCCCATATATTCCATTGCACTCCTCACCTCTCAAACATTTCTTGCCCATGCATTTCCCTCTCAACTAAAAGTTTTCCCCCCTGTTTAAGGAAAGCTTCAAGAAGAGAAAGAAAAAGGAAAAAAAAAGAAAAGAGGTTTATTTATTTTGAGGGGGGAAATGTAGAATGGGAATAGGGCATCAGTGGATAGAGCACTGGTCTTAGAATCAGAAAGGCACATCTTCATGAGTTTAAGTCCAGCCTCAGACATTTACTAGCTCTGTGACCTTGGACAAGTCACTTAATCTTGGTATTTTTCATCTGTAAAATGACTTGGAGAAGGATTCCTCCAGTATCTTTGCTGTAAAAACCCCAAATGAGGTCACAAAGAGTAGGACGACTGAAAAGACAACAAAAAGAGTGGGAACAGACGAAATAGCTTGAGACATTACCATCTTCCCTATCTGAGGCACTCGGCTGAGCTTAGGCAGCCATCTAACTTTAAAAGGCAGGCACCTTTACACTTACTAGCTGTGTGACTCTGGGCAAGTCACTTAACCCCAATTGCATCGTCCCCAAAAAATTGCAGGCCCCTCTCCCTGACACCCCACCCCCCAGAATGCAGATCCCACTCCTCCCCCCACAAGAGGGTTAAGGGGATTGAGACCCCCTGTATCTTGCGTAGCACCCCAAGGGACCAACACTATACTGGATAATAAAGAGCAATAATTAGAACTTTCTGGAAAAAAAATCAACAATGCAGTTATTAAACTCTTACCATCTGAATTGTCCCCAGCTACAATGACTAATCCTGTTTCTGTGGAAGGTGCTATGTATGAATTACTATCACTTTAGTGGGGGAGGAGGGATGCCTGCTGGGTCACCTATGTTGAACTGAGTTACCCAGAGTTCAAGTGGTCCAAATCCATTGGCTCAGGTTTGTGGGCAGTAGGCTGCAAGAGGGCTAGAAATAGTAGATACCACAGAGGGAGTGACCATCTGTCCTAGCTCCTAAGTTGGTATGCCTGAGCAGTAAGAACAACAGCAAATAGAGAAAGAGGGAAGATATCCTACATGCAGATTTTGTGCTTTGCCTGTCAAAATGAAAATCACCTTGCATGTCCAAAGCTCTTGAGTTAGCCTACATCTTTATCATGAGATTCTTCTTAATCCTCAACTTTCCTCTGGTCTCAGTGCTACCAATGAATTGATAGAAAAGGTGCCCTTTTTCTATGTTTCTTAGCTAAGCTGTTCATTATCCACTGTTCTCCCAGCAATATTTAAAATATAGCTCTTGGTCTATCACACAAGCTGTGGATATTTGGTCCACAAATCAACCATCCAAGTTAACATAATGATTGGAGACTTCTAAAGAGAAGGTCATGGATAAAGAAATAAATGTCAAACATCTTAAGGTTCTGCAGCCTCTTTCTCAGTGTCGCAATTAAAGCAAGGATATCCTCATTTG